AAGACACTGTTAAGCCTGAAGGTAAACAATGCTCATGCATTTAGCAAACTTTATATCCACAAGAGATCCCACAAGGGATCTTTATTCATGTGACCAAACACATTGATTTCTATAAACTCACCATAGGACTTCTCACTGGAAAAATACCTGAGGTTAATTCTTTAGTTTGATTGCCTAAATACAAACAACTAAATTAATTTAGACATCTTAGTTACTTAGGAGAATAAATACATATTTTGAGGAATAGCCCGCTATAAAATTATTTTTGTGTAGCTTTATATAAATTGCTTAACTGCCTAATGAAAATAAGTTATGAAATAAGCCTAATTTCTCTTAATTATTGTACAGTTTAAAAAATAGTGCTTAATATGTGATACAGAATTGTACACGTATTATAAAATAGAGACCTCTATGTATTTAGCAACAGTATATTTGTTTTCTATGGATATTAAGGTGTTCTTTCTTAACACTGTCTAAAACAGAGTTCTATCACAGGTTCCATGTGTCTTTGATTTTATCTTAAAATTCTGTGAGCTGTTGCAGCTATGTACAAGTCAATTAAGTGCACATGTTCTTGAATTATTTAGAGTTTTTGAGTTAATTAGAGATTAATTATTTTGTAGTTGTTTTGAAAGTTCTTTAGCTTGTGGTAATGGTTATTCTGAATTGTTGCCACATTTGATTTTTTGTTCCAACATTGTAAATTATATGATGTGCCAAGAATATTTTTATTTGGCATTAATTGCCTATAAAATATTGTGTCTCTATGTTTGTGTCTGTATGGTATTAGCTGCCCAACTGGCATTAAAGGAAATAGTTAATTAATATAAGGCAATGAGTTCCCCAGTGGCAATAAATTTCACAGGTGTGAATATAGTTAGGAAACAGCTTTCCTCTGAAAGTTATCAGGTACATAAAAATTAGATAAGATTGAATTTTTCAGTGTACTATTTTCACATATGCAGTGGTAATGAATGCATATGCATAGTTCCTTGCAGACAGTGCATCTCTTACTACACAAGGTTTTGATTTCTTTGCTGTTCATCCTGTAGTATTTTCTGTCAATATAATGAATAATGTTGCAGTGCTGATATTGTATCACCATATGATACTGCTTGAATTAATTAGATTACAGCCTTTAAAATAAGTGATACATTTAACTGAACAATGATCTCTGTCAGTATATATTGTTTCTCATGCCTTGTTGGCAGTGTCTTGTGGTAAGCATAATATGTCTCCCATGTGTAATATTCTCTTTGTAGTTGTATTTGTCAGACTATTTGTGCTGTCTCTCTGAACAGGGCTATTATAAATTATTAGTAATGCTCTTACCTATTTTTCCATAGACTGTGTTTTACACAAAAATCAATAAAAAAATCAATGTAAGGTATTTTGCTTTTTCTTCTGTGCTTATGCAGAATAAATTTTAGCTTGTGTTTCTTTCCAGTTCATGGGTGCTCTGATCAACATTTTCTCTGAGATAAAAATTGAATGTGAGTTCATAAAAATATTCTAAGGGCAGTTGATTTCTTTTTCAGTCTGGATTTCAGCTTTTTCACACAGACACACTGGATAGCTATATCCCTTATCCTACTCTAAGATATTCTCCATGCTTTCAGAACACGAGAGAACACTACAGTACTATCAGCATATATTCAGTCCACTTTTCATTCAACAAAAAGTTTGGCCATGATGAGATTGCTAGGCACCAAGTATGTTTGCCAAGTGTCCTGTTGTGTGTATGGAATAGAATTACTCTTCAAATGAAACAAATAGGTGAAGCACTTTGCAGTCCTTCTTTTGGAAATACATAACTTTTTTTCCAAGAGGCTTATGCCAGCACAAGAGGAAAACAATACATGAGAGGTATAATGCTGCTTAGCTGTCCATCAGCAGCATAAACTGAGTTCAGAGAAGTAAAGATGCATGGGTCAGTGGAGCTAGCAGCATTTCCATTGCTTTCACATTAGGTTACATAGCCTTCCAGACTCCCAAATGGAATATAGGTGTTTTTAAAATCAGAATATTTAATATTGGTTTGTGCTATGCCTAATCTAACAGTAACATTTTGGAACTTGAAGTCTTTGTTTTCTTGACTTTTATTTTTTAAATCTCCCCATTTTTCTATATCTCAGTGCTTGTTCTACTAAATGTTGATATTATGCCAGAGGCTGGGGCCCCAAACTTACACCCTTCTCCAGCCTTACCTTGTACTGTACAGGAGCGTAAGTTCTGTGTCCTGTGATTTACTGTGTTTCCTTACAGTAATAAAGATCAGTGAAAGTTCCCCTCAATTCCACACCACCCCATGATCTCAGCACTGTGTTTTAATAGTACAGGCAGGTAAATCCAGATGTTGGAAGCTCTGTTGACTTGATGGGTTTGAGTCTACTGCCAGCCACTTCAAAGGTCTTTTCCTTTTATTCTGTGAATATCAAACATAGAAGGTCTGTCAGGACAGACCAAAAAAAAAAAAAAAAAAAAAGAGAATGAAAGTCAAGGGGTCAGACTTAGGAAGAATCTTAGAAAGACTCTCTGTACTTTAAAGACCTCAGTGTCATATTTGATAAAGAGTGCAGGTGGCTTTGGACAGAATCTACATGTTGAATATAGCCAAGAAAAGGACATCACTTGACTAGGAGCTGAAGACCCCCATTGCTGCACATGAAAGGTATATACTGAATAATAGTCCCTTAAAAGCTCACAACTTGTTTTGTAAAACAGCGAATACTGAGTGCTAGAGGAAATAATTCACTCAGCGAAGTCAAGAGGAGATTAATGGCACACCTAGATATGTAAACTTGATCTAACACACAGCTGTGTCCTACACACAGAGTGCTGTGGTTTTATGAAATTTAAGTTTTACCTCAAGAATAGAGTTTGCTGAACTGTGTCTTTACACCAAAATAGTTGGTCATCAGTCAAAACAGAAATCCTCTTTACATCAAGTCTATGTTGTTAACATATTTCTTAGCATTTGTAAGACTTAAAATTCAACACTCTCATAAGTAAGGCTTCGGTGTCTTGAATATTTTCATTACTAATGGAAGAGGTAGATGTGATAAAAATACAATATAAGCCTGTTTGGCTTATGAGTAAATATTATCACAGTCGATTGCATGATTTTGAGGATGGGCATTTGCCATTTGCCATGGGCAGCAGAATTCCTGTAGTTGAACTTGCATAATGTAGTTTCATCCTAAATTTTAAAAGCTTCATTTTGAAGAAGGTGCACAGTGAGCAAATGGAGCTTTGCAATATGATCTTTGGAACAGTGAGCCAACAAGTGCCATGTGACTTAAGCTTATAATTTACAGACTAAGTTGCCCAATTTAGGTATATTCTCTATACATTTGTCATTCAAAACATGGAGCAACCATACTTGAAATCACTTAGGTTAAAATAGAAATATATGTAAGCAGGTTTTTAAACACAAGCTTTGAAACTTTGAATACATACAACTTCAGTTCCTATCTGGGCACCAAGAGAAAAAATATATATATAAAATCCAGCTTTTTCAGCTAAATGCCTGGAGACATATAAGCATTGTCAGCACTTTTAATCTCAGATGCTTAATAGAAAATCTTGTTCCATCCAGTGTAAGCCCTGATACCAAACAGAATGTTCAGAGAAACAAATATTTAAGTAGAACATGGAAGGGCCAGTAAATTGTTATAGTAATGGAGAGATGTGTGTACATGGACGGATGAGGAGTGTCAAACACCAGGTCCAAGGCTGGCAACCCCACTGTCACATCATGTGAGGGCACTTCATAAATGTGCTACAGGTCCTGCCTTTGTATGACCTGTGTTCTATGATCACAGCTCAGGATGTTATGGATGTCAAAGGGACCACTGCATTTTCTAAATTCAGAGTTCTATACTGTGCTAGGCTATAATTTTGCCATCATTTTGGAGTTGCATACAGGATGAATTTCTACTAAATGCAGAGTGTGCATGGGTATTTTTGTGTATGCACAAATACACAATACTGTGTATTTTCTGTTTGATGGAAAGAGAACTCTATAGCACATGCGATTACTAAAAGTGAGATGCACCTTATTTTTGCAGAAGGCAAGTATGAAATGGGAGGGGTGTAGCCTGCACACTGGGAAAAATGAAAATAAGGACTGTGTTGGTTATATTTGGAGCCATAAAGTTGTCTTTCTTGATTGTTAACAATCACTTCTTTTCATATAAAAGTTAGCTGTTTAAATCTCCAGATATGTTAGCATTTAATAAATTTATTTGCATATTCAAATACTTGTTTGGAATCACTGTAGTTAGTTATTTGTCAATGAAAACTGAGGTTTCATTGCGCATCATGAGAGCCTGCACTCAAACACTCGGGATATGTGCATATCCAACATGACACGTGTGCAACTTGCCCAAAGTGTCCATATCCTAGGAATGGCAGCTAAAGCGAGCAGTCCAATAGAGTACCTGTGAGCACACCAAGCGCTGTGTTGTCCTTGAATCTCAGCTGTCAACCTCAAACATCTGCTCACTGTTCGCAAGTAGAAGATACCTACATCCCCTCACCCTTCTGTCCCGGCTTTTATTATTTTTTTTTTATCAATCTATGCAGAGAAAAGGTTGCTTTCGCCCTGTTCCCTGCTGCCAGGTTACCCCAGGCGGCTCTTTCCTGTCCGAGGTTTGTCATGCTGGCGTCCCATGGAGGGTTTTTCATGATTACTTGTTATGGGCCCATCGGCCTCTGCCCTTCCAGCTGCCCAGCATGTGGGTGCCGCCGAGCCTCTGCCCCGGACGGCTTGGAGAAATGCTTTTCTCGCCGAGGTCGCGTTCACAGACAGCACCTCACGAAGTGCCTTTTCTGGCCGGGTGGAGGAGGGTGTCACACGCGGGGGCCGCGGCAGAGCTGTAGCCGGGGAAGGCGGCAGGAGGGCCGGGCCGGGCCGGGGAGGCTGCGGCGCTGCGGGCGGGCCGGGCCCCGGCGCCGCGCCGCTCCCATGGCAACGCTGCCACCGCGGCGGAGCCGCCATGGCCGAGCTGGCCGCGACCGAGCCCCCCGGCCCACGGGCGGCCTTCGGCCCCTCTCGCAACGGCGGCGAGAGGCGCACGAACGCCCCGGACGCTGCCCAGGTGAGCTCCCCCGCGGGCAGGGGCACCCCCGGCCCCGGTGCTGCCCCGAGCCGAGCCCTGCCCTGCCCTGCCCTGCCCTCTTTCTCGGGCTGAGAACAAACGCCGGTGTGTGCTCCGCACACCGCCTGGATTTACCCGTCCCTGGGTAAATTAATGTTGGTTTAACGCTGCTATTTCACATTTTAAACGCCTCAAGAGCAAAACTGAAAAAAAAAGAAAAAGTATAAAAGTGTTGTTTTTTTTCAGGAGACACAGTTGAGGTCAATGGATTTGAATCACGTCATCGCACTGCTCAAAGACTCGGGCTCAGTAAGTAACCCTGGTTCCTCGCTGTCTCTTACACAGGTGGTAATGGGGTTTAGGCAAGTGTTTTGTACAGTTACTTTAGCACCCACGCTGAATAAACTCAGATGGGTTTGTTATACCCAACACAGGTGGCTGGAGCTACAGAGCACAAAGATGAGTGTTTCTTCTGGTATTTGAATGCTTCTAAAGATGGTCATTTTTACTAAAAAAAAAAGTGTCGATATTAAGAAAGAATACACTGAGAAAGAGAAGATCACACAGGAACTTAAAGACAAAATCATGAGCATTCAAAAACTAGACATGCAGAATTTCTAGCATATTTTAGAATTTTAGAGTACTGAAACCTATAGCTGGGAAATAGATGTACCTACAACCTTATTGAAAGTGTGCCATGAATTTATGTAATTGCCCAAGTTAACTGCTAACAGTTCTCCAGGGAGATGATTTTAAATGGAGGTGAAATATACAAAGGTCAATGTTGAAGAATAAATACAACTACCTGCGCACACAGGAGAATCATCATCTCATGGGCTTTCACGGATGATTTTTAGTCTCCACAAGATGATTTGGCAGATTACATTCACTAAGCCATCAAATAATTTTGATCCAAAATATGGATAATTTATGCTCTTAAACAAGGAACGGATTAAACCTAGCACATTTTAAATTAATGCCCCACAGATAAGTAGTTATATCTTCCCCTCTTCCCCTTTTTTAATACAGAGCTGATATAATAAACTTACTGACTGAAGAAAAAAGTGCTGGATGATATTGTTTACTACTTCTGTAGATATGTAGATATGATAAAATACCTATAGGATTCTGGGCATGTAGACTCCTGAAACAACTTCCTGGCCTGCCTCAAGTTGCAGGTGCTCAGGAGAGCTGAAATGAACTCTGCACATCACTGACACAGCCTGACATATCCTCTCTTCAGTTGTTTTCAGATTTGAATTTGAAGGCTCTTTCCTAGTGGTGCAGAGCACTCTAAGCCACTTAGATCTACATGCTTGCACATTTATGTTGTGTGTGACATAGGTTTGTTTTTCTTAGCTGCTTTACAAAGAATCACAAAGAATTTAAGTGAAAGAGTCGACACGCTTGAACAGGAGTTTTTGAAAGCCTCTTCAGTTACAAGAGAGCAGACTTCATACTGAGAAATGAGGCTTCATCATGGAGTTAATCCTGCTTCAAAGCGCTTTGAGAATTTTGTTGTGTTGTGAAAACTTTTAAATCTGGTTTCCACTTTCATTTAAACTTAAAAAGGGGATAAACAATAATTTAAGGTTCTAAGGCAAACTGTAATTAAAACCTGCTTTTCATTCTTTTACTTAAGAAAGATTTGGAAAAAGAGCAGCTGAAAACTCTCAAGAAGGTTGTCAAGCATTTTGAAAATGGACTTGTATCCTTTTTGCCACTCTAGAATTCTAAAGTCATGGTGTTTTATGTATGGTAATAGTCTGACTTTTCAGTAAAGTGTTTGATGCTGTACTGTGCTTCCCCATGGAGAGTAGGGATGATGGTATACATTCTCATCACTGGCCTCTTTGTGTGCACACAGCCAAGGTTTGTAGGCTGGCAAGATTCTTGGATATTAGATTCATTTGTCACAAAATTCAGTAGTGGGTTCTCACCTGTACAGTGGCTGAAAGTGTCCAGAATGGAACTGGTGTACTTTAAACTCAGAATAGAAAAGCATAATAATTGCCACTACTTAAGAAACAGCAGATAAAGTAGCAAGATAAAATAGACCTCCAGTAAGGAGACATTTTAAAGAAAAATTAAGTCAAACTAATTTATCTGTACAGTACAAACTGAAAGGTTCCAATAATGGTAAAAGCACTAAGGAGGGTGTTGGCATGTGGAAAAATGTTACTAATTTCATACAATTCAGATAATTGCTCAGTGATTTAAGACATCACATTACAACTGAGTTGTGTACTTCAAGACAGTTTCTGTGAGTCAGTGGATTGGTAGTAACTTCTTGGTCTCAGTTTTCTGTTCAGCTTTGATTTTGTGCCTCTACCCTAAATTAAATAATCTCCATATTTACTTGGGTCCAGATTTTCAAATTTCAGTTAGTCACTTGGGACTAGAGGAGAAAACAATTTAAATACCACAAGACTGTCTCAGAATTTAGATGGCTAAATCTGACATGTTGTAAAAACTTTTCATCCTCCATTTTTAGAAATTTAGTGCTGAGCTTCCAGTGAGTTCAGCTGAGAAGACACCTAAATCAGATTTGCAAAAGTTGTACTTATATGAAAGTAAGGGTGCTTCACGTACTTCTTTTAAACACCAAACTTTGTAAACATTAGTCTTATTTTTTCTTGGTTGTGTCTTTGAAGTGTGATGAGCACCGTTTTCAGCTTTTTCTGCTGATTCGTAGTGGTACAGATGATCTGATTTCCTTAATTTCATGTTAAAAGCCCCTTAAGGATGTAATACAAATTACTGCAATTCTTAACCTGTGTGCAGAAAAAATGAGAGAACAAGAAGCTTTCACTGAGCCTTTATGTGAACTTATTAAATTGTTTGGGTAAGTACCTCAGCCCCTCTTTTAGAGATTTAAATACTGCTTATTGACAGGTTTATACATTTTCTAAGGCGACTAACATATCCATACAGCATTTATCTACAAAGCACCTGTAACTGCAAAGTATCCATTGGATCATCCTTCCTTTTAATCAACTGTCTTTGACTTGTGTCCAGTTTCTGGTGACATGAATGAGGAACCTATTTTAACAGTTCAGTATCTGCAGTTGCATGTTACATAATTCAAAACTGTGTTGTACTTGGCCCCAGCTTGCTTGGCAGCAAGGTTCCCCAAGGTCTCTTACTGCTTAAGTCAGTGTGGGACTGTTGGCCTCGAAGGATTCAGCAGCTAAGTGGTACTGAGGTGTGTTTTGCTGTTTCAGACAAGCTCTTAAGTGAGTTTAAAAACTTAGGGTGACAAAGACACTCTTAATACCTGATGATTACAAAATTGACAAGCCTTACAAGCATTACAAAATGACAAGCCTTATTACAGGAGAGAATGAACGTCAACAGGATTTAGGATTTATATTTACTTTAAAAAACTTATCGCATGAACTTTTGGGCATCTTTGTTGTCATACTGTATTTTAAGTAACCTGTAGAATAGAATTTAGGTGTTATCCACACTTGTCAGTAGTTTTCTCCTCCTCAGTAATTCAGTAAAGTTATTTATGGTATGCTTGTAGCTACAGTTACTCCTAAATTTATTTTCATTTCAGGGGAATAGGGAAGAAAAAAAAAATAACAAATCACCAGAGAGAAAACTAGTGGCATAGTAAAACAGATATTCAGGTGGATTTTTACATAGCTTCCTCTCAGCTGTTAGGTTTAATAAACACAGAACTTCTCAGCTGAATCTTTTAGTTCCCTAAGCACCCTGAGATGTACTGCTTTTCTTTGCTGCCACACAGTGGGGAATGAGGAGCTACATCATGGAGTTTAATTTTCTTTGGTGTTTGCTAGAAGCATGACAGAACTGAGAATGAGTGTATAAAGTCGATAAAATGTAGCTGTGTGACTTTTCCTCTTTTAGAGCAGTTCAGCACTAATTGTGGTTTCTGCAATGAATATATTTTAGAAAATTGCACCCTAGGGTTTTTCTTTAATTTCTGTACTATGGAAATTCCACCACAATTCCCTACTACTTCATATGACAGAGAAGCCTTTAACAAGATGTAGGGGCTGGGTTTTTTGGGGGTTTTTTTAGGATTCCATTTCAGATACATTAATTTCTCCAGTAAAATATTCCACTCTTATATAACTGCTTCTGTTTACGTGTCTTTTTCCCACTTTCCCCCCGCCCGCCCAATGTCTTGTTTCTCCCTCTCCTGCTTCCCCCAGCATTTCTTCTGTTGTTTATTCTTTCCTTTCTTTTCCTCTGGCAGTATTTACAGAGGTAAACCTACTGGAAAGCTGCTTCCACAGTATGTGCTGCAGAGCCCTTAGCATAATATTGTAATGTTTACTGTTAGACTGTTCTTAGCCCTTACATGTTTATGTCATATCTGAGTATTTTGAATACATTATGGAGTATTTATTAATATCCTGCTTTTAAAAACAAATTTGTTGTTGTGCTATTTGGAGTCAGTTTATTTGGTTTACTTTTATCCATTTCCAGAGTTCTTGCCCAGAGATATGATCCCTTTTTTCCACCTCTGCACATGTCTGTCCATAGCCTAGCTCTGTAATGGCCTGGTAGTGTCTAGGTTCTAGGATTTAGTCTTCCAAATGACATTTGTTCATTCAGCATGTCTTGTTGCATCATATTTGAATTATGAAAATATTATCTATGAACATGTACCACGAATTGCCAACATGTAATTGCAGATTATGAAGCTTTCAGTGTAAAATCAGCATTGCAAAGAGTGCATTCATCCTAGAAAATGTGTCCTTATCAGAAAAAATTAGGAAGTTTCCATCAAGGAAGAAGAGAAGATTTACTGAACTTTTCTGGTGACTTGATTAAAATATAGTTGTAATGTTTTTAAATTTAATTTTGCAGGTTACCATTTCAAAAAAAGAAATCATCTGATGAAGTTAACTATTCCGTTGAAGTTTCACAATCCATTGCACAACTGGGTGAGTGTAACCTGATATGCCACAATAAAATTATTATTATGCCACAATAAAATCAACAATATTATTAGCACGATTTTAATTTATTGTTACTCCTTAGTAAATGTAGGTAATTTCTTTAAATTATTCATTCAATCCTCTGTGTTTTTCATATTGGAAACAATGTTTACTTTGCTCTGCAGCTAACCTGAAGATTGGCTAGCAGAATTACCTATTTGCCAATGTCAAAAGTTACATGAGAAAACATTATCAGTGCAGATGAAGAAGTAAACATGTATCTAGCCTGTTTAATTTCATTTTGACCTGAGAAATGGGGGTATCACTGTAAACACTGAAACCTGGGATGCCAGGAACATGTATCCTTCCTGCTTCTGTGCTCCCTTTATTTCATATCATATCTGCTTAGAAGAGTTTCTAATGACGTGGTAGTGATCGCAACAGCTGAGTGTAGTAGCTTAGTAGCCTTCCTCAGAATTCCACAACTTCTGGAATAACATCCAGTGCCTTATGAGTGTCTGTAGGCATAAAGCAGAGAAGGTAACTTTTTGGTTAAACTTATGCTACTTCTCTAAGATGTCTTTGTCCTCTCCAGTGTGGGGAGTCTCTGCCTCTTGAATATTTTATAATGAAACTTTGCATGAAATTACAGATTTGTAGGTAATACTAAGTGGTGTAAAAAGAAGAATACTGTGTTAAGAATACTTTCTTTAAAAATTATAAAGTCTGTTAATTACATTTATTTGTCTTTCTGACAGGTTACTTGATGCTAGTGCCAAGCTCTCAAGTTAAAATACAAATCTGTAAGAGCATTGTTAGCTTTTATAATATGGAGCTACCAGGAAAACTACTTTCAGGTAAAGCAGGGTATTTTTATTTTTTGATGATCCCAACTACTTTGAAATGCCTCTTTTAATTACCTATCGAATAATTTTTCTTTATAGCTATGGTTACTGTATTTAATATATTAAATATATAACATTGGCAAATGGATAATTAACATGTTTTTATAGAGGTGCATATTCTAAATCTGAAATAAGTTCATCAATGTTCATCAATTATTACACTTAAGAAAATTAGCATTAAATAGCATCCAGAAAATGTGAAGTGATATCAGATCTCTGAAATATGGGTAATGGAGGGGAAAAAAGCAGTTAGGATCAGAATTATAAGAAAGGAAATGTAGTTTTCAGGTTTTTATATGTAGCCTGGAAAGAAGCAGCTCTGCTTTCTCTTGTATAATGATAGATCTGAACTCATTTAAATTTGATTGAGTTCGTATTATACAGACACATATGAGCATAGGTTTGAATAAATGGTGTGACGTATCTCTGCAGAAAGAGGCTATGCATGAACTCGGGCATGACCAGAATCCACTATTATATAGTTCCTTTGACTCTTATGATGGGGCCAGAGACTGTTGTCAGGTGAAGTCAGTCATGGATCACTCCCAGAGGGGCACAGCATCGCATGCTCTGAGACTGCACCACTGCCTTTGTAGGCAGGAGCCTCAAGTGAATATTGCCGTAGTGTGGCTCGAGAGTGCAGGTCAAGGAGCATGCCTGATGCCAGTGTGCTCCTCTGCTGTGTTCCTGCGGTGGGGCACTAATCCTGTGCCCTTTTACAAGTTTTCATTTATTTTAGGAGGCCTAAAGAAGCTGCTGCTACTACAACCCTTTCAAAATTCTAGAAATAGGAGAGCATCCAAATCTGGTTTTACCTTACAAACAAGACTCAAATCCTGCAAGTAGCTGTGTTTGCATTTAGTTCTGTATCTGTAAATAATTCCATCAAGATAAATGAATGTTATTGAGCAATTTTGGTTTTTTTCTTCTGATTTAGAAAATAGGATACGTTATCTTGAAGTGAAGAATGTGTTTCAGTCTGATTTTTTTAGTCAAATATTTCATTTCTAACCATATATGTAAACCTTGCCAAAGTCTGACCCTGCAGAGTTCTCTTATCTGTAAAGTAATATCAATTTGGAGCCTGTCAGAGTGTGTGCTTAGTTAAACTTCATTTCACTATGTGCATTATCTGTATTTATCAATCTTGTACTTTATGAAATTTGATAAATATATATATAGTGTGTATGTATACACATATATATACTTAAGCTGCTTAAGATAAACTTTGCTGTCATGAGTTATCATAATATAAACATAAATATAAATTTATTTTCTCAATGCTTCACCTTCCCCATAATTCCTTAATGGAATAAAGATTTGCATATGCATGGACAAAAGTAAAAACAGGGACACATTAGAAAGTCAAGCTTGTAAATCATAGTGTGGATTCACCTATTTTGTCATGTGATGATAGAACACAAGAATTCTCTAGTCAAAAGGCTACCGAAGAGAACTAGGTTACTGATGACTGAAGAAAGTTTTTCACTTCTATAGCCCTGCTTTTGCTTTCATTGTCTAAATTCTAAGAAGCAAGAAATTTGTTTCTATAGCATTAAAGTCTGTTTGAGGGTGATTCAGTTGGATGTTTTATAGGCACTATTCAGATATAAGAAAAGCAGCTCTTGTGTATTGGATTGTTTTTCTTAACTGCTTGAAATATGATACTTGATTTTCAATCCTTTATTTAAAAAGTATGAACATTTTATGAAGTAATCAAAATTCTCAGTATTTACTGCATTTTAACTAAAGCTATTGTATGTGCAGGTTACCAGCCGACAAATCCAAACTATAAAATCCAGATGGCTGAAATAGGAGGATTAGCAGAAATTCTTGTTTTGTCACTAGCATTAGTTGAAAATCAACTTACTGAGAAGTTGTGGGTACTTAAAGCTCTCCAGCATCTTTCCACCTCTGGTTAGTACAAACTGTTCTTTCAATAATCTCATTATCATTGATCTTAGATCATTTGTTCTCTGAACATGCCTGAAACAATTACTGACCAATAGAGCATTAATTACTCTGATTTACATAATTTCAGGAATAAGTTGTGGACAAATGGTGAGGGCCCAAGCAGCCAGCAGGCTTTGTTTGTGTCTAAACGGTGCTGATCCCTCGGGACAGCTGTTGTTCCGTTCCTCAGATATCCTATGGAACCTGCTAGAAAAAGCCTCAAAAGAAGAAGTTGTTGATCAGCTCAGAAGCTTGGAATGTGTACAGTAAGTACAGGGACCATTTTTTTGAATTAATTTTGTAATTTCAGAGACATCTGCAGCATTCTGTTGTGTAGCATTTTGTTTGAAATTAACAGAGAAATGAAAATGGGTCTCTGATTACATCCTCATTAAGTTTTCAGTATTAACATAGTAGTTGCTGTTACAGGGCAAGAACAAGGTGCTCTGCTGCATAGTGTAGGAGGAATAGCTCTATCTATTGCTTTGTACAATAGAAGAGTTAATTGCAGCATTTTGAAGCTTCCACATTAGGCTTAACAGGCCAGAACTCCTGCACTGTTGAAGTGCTGATCGTACAAAATTACAAGGAATTTCTTTGCCATGATATACAAGGTTTATTTTTAGATCCTCTGCTGGAGTAAATAACAGGTTCTTCCTTAGTGAGTTAGACTGTTTTAACTATTTGAGATTAGACTGTTCCTTCTCAATAATCATTCAGCAATGTCCAGTTCCACATTTGAGTAAATACTGTGTCTTTGTATTAATTAATTATAGCACAAACAATGGAAGATGTAATTTTTAATACATGCGTCTTGCATCTACGAATGAATGGGATGTCTAGTGGTACCCAAAAGAATCCACTTCATAATAAAGTTTTAACTTATTTCTCTTGTAGTTAAACCCTAAGGCTTTGAAAAGTATGATGCTGAATGAGGATTCATATATGTAGAACTGTCCAACATTAGAATGTCAAAGGAAAAGATAAAATGCATTTCATTTTCTTTTAAGTGCTTTGAAAGATGTATTTGTAGACCTCATGTGTGGCTTCCGGCACTGCGATCATCAGCTACGGAATGACCTCTTGGTGATTGCCACATTACTAGCTGAAGAACCTGCAGTACCTATGATTGTAAGTATTTAGAGTAGTATTCCAGAGACTAATAACTTCTCCTTTGCTTTTATAAGCTCGGTATTCTTCCCCATTGGGGTTCTAATATTTTTTTCTCCTGTGTCTCCAGTGCTTTTTTCTTTCCTGGATTTGCTGAGCAAGAAAACATTTTTTCTTTCTGTAGTTGTCTTTACCTCAGAGATTTAAAATCTGTAGGTAATTAGCCCAGAATACTAGCATCAACCTTATTTAATACTTAGAAAATCACATTAACATTATCTATGTGCAAAATTTAATGTTAATTCTTGTATTCTTATATGGATTCTTGAAAGCGCCATTCTCCTAAAAAAAGTTTTGCACTAAATCTCATTTTTTGTTTGAAGATGTAGGCTATATTCAGATGACCCAAATTCAATGTGTGCCTCATAACTGGGAAGAAGAAGGGTGTGCAAAAATCAGCTCAGGAGCTCTAAGTAAGATTCTGAGAAAATAATTAGGTCCAGTTAATAAGAGGCACATAAATTCTTTTAAAGACTATGTCACATAATGCACTACCATGACCTAACTGAAATGTAGATGACTCATTCTTTTGTAATATTCCAGAATTTTTATGAGAAACCTGCAGAGAAATTAACTTTATATAGAGGTTAATGTTGCTTTAGTGTCTTGTTTTACACTTGAGATGAGCTTCAAATGAAGTTGTGATGTACATACTGAATAATTAAGCAATCAGATCCCTGTGGATTAATTGGCTCAGGAATATATCACTTTCCTCTTGAAGAGAAGTTTACCAGTTGGCTGTATTACTACATGAAGATTACAGACTTTCATTCAAGCTTTTCATTTAACACCAACTAATATGAAATATCTGTTATACTATTGAAGCAACATATTGGATATCTAAAAAATTCAAATCGTTTATCTGGCTATAGAAACAGGGCATTTTATTCCTACAAAATAAGTAAACCAGATAGGTATTTTTAATTTCTTATACTAAAAAGAAGAAAAATTGTTTCTATGCAAAGAAAATATTAAAACAATTTAATTTAGGTTCTTTACCCTCAGCCTGCCTAGAAGGGTATACAAGGTATAAATATCAGGTAGAAAAAACATTAACATTACCATTTAATTCTGCCTTATAGATAATACTATAGCAATTTGCTTCAGAATGTTCCCTTTTCTTCTTAATATACTATCCAAGCAACTTCAGAAATGTCAGTCTTGTATTTTATATAGTTCACAAATCATCACAGGAGTCTGAGGCTTTGAAAAGGAGAAGTTTTCTCATCACAAGCAAACTGTAAAATTTATGTAAAGTTCATAAGGATATTATTATCTTTCTCTTAGGAAAAACCTGTTTGCTAATTGCTTACCTCAGGAACAACACTCCTTTGCCTCTAATGTGCTGCATAGACACCTCCTGGCTTTGGTCCTATCCATAGCTGTATTAGACATTATTGTCCTTCTGTTAGCTCTCTAGGAGCTGTGATTTACAAGATTTTATTTCTGAGCTTTTCATATGTGGTATTGGTAAATTCTTCTTGCCCATACAGGCAGTTTTCATATGTTTACTTGTAAATGCACTGAATTTGAAGTGCGTTGGTATGCACAACTGATGCCACAAAATTATATGTACTGATGACTCTGATGTAAAACGTGACCAAATGCATTTAAAAACCAGCTCTAAAAGCACTGAGAGTATTTTTTGTGTTAGATTATAGTAGTGAATACAAGTGTTTCGGACTTCCCCACAGAAGTTCAGACTTGCACTGAATGAAACATGGGTTTAACTAATTGTACCCTTAGGACTGCAGTTAGTTATTGTTGTATAATGTCCAAAAGGTTGTTCAATTCTTTGATGAAATTCTGTTTATTCTGCCATAGGATACATTAAATTCTGTGTTCTGAAGAAAAAAAGTCAAGCCAAAATTAAATCATAAGTCTTAATTTCACTGCAGTTTAATTAATGTATGTTTTTTTAATGCCTATTAGGAAAGTGGATTTGCAAAGATCTTAATAGTACTTGCAACATGTACTGAAGGTAAGAGATTCCATAGTGCACAATTACACAATTTTTGCTTTTAATTATGATCTTTTTGTAACTTATCTTCCATTTCCATCATAGTTAAACTTCCCAATCCTTTGGTAAAAGGTTTTAAACTTACCTACTCATACGAGGATTTTGAGATGAAGAAGTTACTATTTAATGTAATAGGAATCTTATCTAAAGACCCATCTGCTACACAGGTAAGTTCTAACAGAACAGAAATAATAATTAAAAAAAAAGAAAAAGACAAAAGAATCATGAGAATATTAGTTATCTCTCCATCTACCGTAGTACAGTGCACTGAAATTCTCTGTTCTCCAAATCAAGAATTCATACATAGCTTCAGACTAAGCCCTGCTGTTGGAAAGTAGCATACAATTTCTATTTTAGAAAATTACAGACTTAGACCATGCTAGGGAAATTGCTGACAAGTGACTGCAGAGTATTGTTGAAATACACCTGAAGAACGTAATAAAATTTAGCAAACCGCAATCTCTGGGAAAGATACAGAATATAAAAAGAGTGTGCATGTACTTGTAGTGTTCATGACATATCTTCTCAATTAAAAATTAATTTTGTTATTGTAGGACAGATAAAGTTGACTTATCCTTTAGATTTTTCTTATTTGCATGTGAAACCTGTAAACTCTCTCTCCTTTTCTTTGTCTGGACTCTGCAGCTTCTCAGAGAAAATCATGTGATGCCAGCTTTGCTTTATTATGTAAAACAGAATCGAAAGCCTGGATTTCCTGACTGGTCTGCTTCTCAATATGAAGAATTACAGCTTCATGCAATTGCTGTTTTAGCTTCAGTGGCTCCTGTGTTAGTAGACAAATATTTGTCCTGCCAAGCAAATACTCTTCTCCTTATGTTTCTAGAATGGTGTGCAGGCCAAGGTCAGTGGGTACTCATGGCTTTCACACAGGTCACCTCAAAACAGTTCAACTGAACTTACTTTCTTTGACAGGAAAGGAAAATGTAAAACTCATGATGTCAGAATGATTCTTTTTCATAGGCCATGTAGGAAACAAATGTTTCCAAAAAAAAAAACAACCATCCTTTTTTTTTCTACTGAAGGATAAGCTGGTGCCCCTCTCCCTGTGTACCACTGTATTGATAATTCCTTCAGACAAACTACCTCTGCTGTCTGTGCTTTAAGTGAGCCAGGCCCTTCTTTAGTGGCAAGAAGTACAAGCAGGAATTCCTGCCGTGAGACAGGACACGTTAACTCAGAGTTGTACATAGGGAGACAGGTTCCAGACTACAGCTGGCTTCTGGGCATCAGATAAGAGTGTGTGCTAAGCAAAAATATAACTGAGTGCACTCAGTTTTATTGACCAGATTTCTAAGGTTGGGTATTTTTCATCATAAAATTGGTATGTCTTCCTAGGTTTCCTAAGAAATTTCCAAAGAAATTTTTAATTGGGTTGAATGAAGATCAAAAGATGGATATTAAGTGTCATACTAAACATGAACCTTTTAAAAAATGTATAATAATTTTAAATGTTCACCAAAATGTTACCTTTCTTGTGCATGTAAAAAGTATAGTCCTAAACAAAAAGGCTTATTACTAGATGGTTTTAAAGAATAGTTTCTGACTTCAGCGGGGTTTGGAGGTTTTTTGTTGTTGTTGTGTTTTGGGGTTTTGTTTGTTTTGTTATTATTTTTCCTGAGCACGTTATTCTGAACACGGATTGTCTGCCAAAACCAGTATTGGTTGTGATTGCTCCACAGATCCTTTCTTTGGTCGAGGTAACAGTTTCCATGGAAGAGGTGGTTGTGGCAACAAACTCCCACAAATGCACTACAGCCTCCGAGCTCTGAGATCTGTTGTGGCCCTTTATCATGATGCTGTGAACATTGATTTGTGTGACCAGGGAGCAATTAGCCAGCTACTGGGTAAAACATAATTTGTATTGCTGTTCTTTAATTGGTACATTTCTGTTGACACTAAGAATGTGTTTTTGTGTGCCGTGCTTTTAGTGTGTCCTTCGACTGCTGAAAAACTAAAAAAACCTCTGGCAATTAATCCAAGATGAATCTCATTTGATGTTATTTTTTTTCCATTTCAATACACCTTGAATGAGTTAAGCAAAACAGACAGTTTTAAAAGTCTAGATGTTTAATTTCAGAGAAAAAGCTACCCCTTCTCACTTTATGTTACTTCATTTGGTAGATCTTGTTTTCGTTGTGGCAGTCCCCAGAAACTCCAGCCCATGAGTATTTTTCCACCTAGGTCTATCAAAGTGTTGCTTTCCACAACTCCTCTTTAGCATTGAGTAATAATAACAAGGTACCTTAATATGAGCAATGTGAAGAAAAGAAGCAGAATAAAACTGCTTAATCATTGCTCCTCCAATTTAAGAGCATTTCTTGTTCAGTAACACATACCTACTGTTAAATTTGGTTTAAGTTCCAAAACAAGCTGGTTTAGGTTTTTCTTACAATATCAGAAAGTTTTTAGTACTCTGAAGGAAACAAAACAGGAAAGATCCTTTGGAATTCAAAGAGTATGTTCTAATAAAAAGCCTAGAAATTAAGTATTTTATAGCCTCAGTTCAGCTCCACTGAAAACTCTGGAAACCTACAGCTTTTAGTGTAAGCTAAATTATTACTATACCTTACATATCAGAATCAAGTAGCTTTTACTCTAGAGGAGTTTCCTGTATGAATGCCCTCTTCCACATAGTGGTTCCAAGACTGACTTTCTCAGCAATGGTGGTATTTCATGTCTTTACCACATTTCCACTGTCAGTTCAAACATTTGTGAAGCTGTGGAGTAGAGTGAACCAGCCAGTTTGTTGTCTTTTCTAAGAGTTCCTTAATTCATATCAGTTCCCTGAATTCCTTACGCTGGCACAATATAAGGGGCAGCAAAGAGGCTGAACAAGGGAGAAGTCAGTGCAAGCTGCTGTCATTTACTCTGTCACCAAGAGGAAAGGCCATGAAACAGCAGCATCAGAGTGCTGCACTTCTGGAAGCTATTATTAAAACCAAGGAGATAAAACTGAACTTGATTTAAAAACCCTTTCATATAGATTTGAGTTTTGTAAAAAGCAGCAGATGTAATAGAATTTTGACATGTATATAGGGGTATTCATATATATAAAATGTATTCATTTACAGACATCTTAAAGTATGCAGCAGAGAAGTGTAAAGAAAAAGAAGATACCGTTCTACTGGAAATCCAAGCTGACATATTATTTATTTTGTCTGTTCTCTGTGAAAGCGATGTCCACAGAAAGGTATGTATCTTTCTACCTTATACTGTGCAGAAAATGTCAAAACGTATTATATTTTCTTTTAAGGGACAGTGCTTTTTTGTGTTTTAATTGAAAAGCAGGTGTCAATTGTAGTTCATTGTTAACAAGTCATGTTTCTTGACCCAGCTAAAGTATAAAAACACTCAGAAATCCATTAGCAAGTGTGAACCTATTTGATTGTTAATTTACATTATTTTGAAACTGATATATGAAAGTGTGTTACAAAATTAACTAGCACTTTGGAAAAACTGATTTTTTTCATATGTGTACATCCTGCTCTAACAAGTTTATTACAATATAAATTTATTGTATTACAATATTAATTTATTACAGTATAAATATTTATATTTCCCATTTTTCATTGTATTTTCTTACATTTTTAAATTTAGTAAATATGGCTTAAGAAGCAATGCTTTAATTAACAGGAACTCTTCAGCTGTGAAGGAATTGGTATACTCATCTCATTCTTTAAGATGGATCCAAGGAAGTTATGTAGTGGATTAGGCTACAATTGTCTCCTCCTCAGTGCACTCGACTGCTTATGGTTAGTGAAGTATTTTAGCAGCAGTAACTTGGAAAAATGTCAAGTCTTGTATTTTTTAGGTCTGCAATGCTATGACCTTTCTCTGCACATGTAGGCCTTTCTTCTGTTTATAATGTATAAAATTCTTCATAAAATTTGACTAATTAAATTTGTGCAGAAGAAACGGAATACAGTGCATGTAAGATTTGCTAAATATGGATTCAGTGTAACAACCTCACTCCCCACACAGAATGACCTCCTGACATGCAGAGGTACTCAAGACTTCTAAGAGAGGCATATGGTTAGAGTCTGTGTGGTTAGTGTTAGGGTAAATAACTTTAGAGAAGTAAACAGCAGGCACGAATAGACCAATATTAGCAAAAAACGATGTAAACATAAGAATTGTCTATAAACTGGCTATACTGGGCTAGAAATATTTTAAAGATTGGAGGAAAATAAAAACTTAATTTGTTTTAAGGCAAAGGTTGATAAATACATTAAAAATCAAATATGTTTGCTGGGAACAAATACTGATACAGGAGATCTCTTTAGTTTCTCTGTTAATTACCATAGCAGAGGAAATAAAGCAGTAACAGCAACATGAATGCTGGCTTTATGATCATTTTAATCTGGGAGAAGCAAACTGTTGCCAAAAAAATATTGCTTGACTCACTCCCTTGTTTTTGCTGGCAGAAATACTCACACAACCCTACAATAAATGAGATTAGGGACATACCTGGTTACATTTTAAACTCGTTTACTGAGTTAGCTTTAAACTCGTTTACTGAGATAGTTTCAGTTCAAATACATACTCCAATTCATTGAGAGCCTGCCAAATTTCTCAGGCTGCTTCAAGGAAGGTGTGCCACCTGCAGAAGAAGAAAGTCAAGCAGTCAAGCAAGGTATATTTAGTTATAGGCGTAAATGAAAAGGCACATGAAACATGATTTTTCTACTCCTTGAAGGTGTGAAGCATATTGCATACCAAATGGTATGAAATTCAGCAAAATAAATTAGATGACTGTAGAATGTTGAGAGTCACAAAAGTGTTTCTACATAACAGAAATGTTATTTCTGTTTAAGGTCCTGTGTCATTGGATGTTACATGGCAGAGGACTATTTTATTGATCAACGGGGCGTTTTTCTCCTTCTGGATTTGTTGGCAGTAGGTATCTTTGTAACTGGTTTTGTAGAATGGAAGAGTAGGAAAACAACATGGAACATTGTGTTATTTTTGTTGCAGTATCTCCTAAGACTGGTATAATACAAAAACCCAAACAAACAAACAAAAAAACCCAAGTATATTTATCTCCCTGAGAGAGACCCAGCTATCTGCTCAGAAATTATTGCATCAGTTTTCCCTGTATCTTTTTTCTTTTTTTTAATACATATTTGACAGAGGGAGTTTTTAATTTAACAAAGTTATACTATTTTTGAAAAGAAAAAACAAAATATGCTCTTAGTTTGGATGACATCTCTCTTTAGAAAAGTACTTCAGTTCTTCATATTGAAGTTAGTAAGAGCACTTGATGACTTGAACAGTTTTTATGTTTGAATTTACTTTGTACATGTATCTCATGTGTATAGCTACTTCTTGGATCTTGGACATAGAGCGGGCACAGACATTTCACCTCTTACAAAGTAAAAAAACACCTTCTTTAGGTCATGCATTCCTCATTCACACTGGTTGTGCTGTCAGCCCCTGATGTTCTTGCAGTGCAAGGCTGCAGACCCTCAGAATAACAGAATCATAGAATGGCCTAGGTTGGAAGGGGCCTTAAACATCATCCAGTTCCAACTCCCCTGGCCATGGGCAGGGCCAACTTCTGCTAGAACAGGTTGCTCAAAGCCACATCCAACCTGTCCTATACAGCCTTTAGGGTTGGGACATCCACAGCTTCCCTGGGCAAGCTGTTCCAATGCCTCATCAGCCTCAAAGGAAGGATTTTTTTCCCAATATTTAATCTAAACTGACCCTCTTTCAGTTTGAAGCCCTTGCCTCCTCTCAGCTGCTGCCAAAAGATCTGGCCACAAGACAGAAGGTGTGCTGTGTGGTACTGCTCAGCCTCTGCCTTCAGAGTTCTGTTTCTTACAGCAGTAAACCTTGGTAGCAGTGTATTCTCCAGCATATGATCCTGGAGCCATGTACACAAAATCTACTGTGTGATTCTACACACAGGAATGCATCTTATATGGTCCTACCCTCGTGTTCACCAAAACACGAGTGTTCCTTGATTTATGGATCTTTATATAGCAGGATTACAGAAACTTTAAGGATTTACAAACTTATACAGTAATTTTGTGCAAATACTAGTGATGAAAATCTTGCAGTTAGTTGATTACATAGTAGACAATTTCTTAGAAAGAAGATGTCACTGTGTTTTGAACGGTTTAAAACTTTCTTTACTTTATCCTTGATAAAGTTAAAGGAAAAGAACCTGTGCAATATAATTCTTGGGATCTTGGTTGAATTATCTGACAACTGTGAAGCTGCTTTGCACATGAACGTGTGGCAAGGGAAGAGAGAACAAACAGCAGCTAATCTTCTAATACAGTTATGGAGACAGGAGGAGTTGGATTTGGGAGTCAAACGTGATCAATATGGAAAGATTGTTGGTAAGTTTTATGATGCATGTGGAACTGGGAGCAGTCCAGTAAAATAATGACATTATTTGCTTTTGTAGTCTGAATTCTGATGACAGTAAATAACAACATTGATAGCTTTACACTATAATACTTAGCAAACTTGAACCAATTCTGTTTCATTCAGTTTTTATTTCATTTTATTTATTCATCTATGGCATTTTCTACATCAGCTGGGAATGAACCAAGTGTTGAACAGAACCATGACCAGCTTTTCTAATGCTGGACAGTTAAACTGCTTAATTTCTTCCACAAAAGGGACTGTGTTTTGTTCTATGTTGTAATAAGAAGTGAGTGCTGTTCTCACAAATTTTTAGTCATGCTAATTAAAATTTCCTGACCCAAATTATGTTCAAACTCTTGGCCAAACAATCAAAATTATTTGCATGGTGTCCACAAAGTAAGATGAATTTCCTCTAAGTTTGGGAACATACTACTGCTTCATTCTTCTCTGGTTTTATGTTTTTATATTAGACACCAAGAGACCTATTGCTACCAGCTTCCAGAAACAGCAAAAAGTTTTTCCAGTGCCTGCCAGCTGTCCCAGTTTTGCCATCATGGAAATTTCAGAGAGCATACGGGCAAAAGTTTATTCATTATTTTGCAAGCTAGGTAAGACAAATGAATTGCCTTGTTAGTGTCATATTTGTCATTAAACTGAACTTATCAATGAAGTCACTATAAAAAAATCAAAGTCAAAGGAAACATTGTGATTCAGCATCAGTACTCTCTAATTAATAGATGCTTGGTCATTACATTTTTTTTCAAAGTCCCTCTTCATTGGGATTTCAAGACTTCCCCACTACTTTGCTGCCCCTACCACCAGGAAGAATTTCCTTAGGACTGAACCTAAAATTTGCTTGAAATTCTCTGCAATTTATTTTCCTACAAACAATATCTCTTTCACATATTTTAGCACTTGTACATTTATTTCTCTAGATTGAGAAAGATATTACTCATTGATTGCATTTTCTAACGTAATCTCTAGTTATTCTTGTTTTTTCTGTAGTCTTTCCAATTTAATAAAATTCTTCTTGGTTTCTAGTGTCCCAAAGCTGAACACATTACTCCAGCAGAAGCCTCACAGCCAGATAGAGATATGTTACTCTACACATCTTGTAAACAGACATTCAGACATAAATGTAACAATAGCTGTATTCCTAGTGGCATGATATTCAACTTAGAATGTTGTACAGGTGGCTATTCCTACAGTCAGAATTTTCTATTTGTCCTTAATGAATTAAATTCTGTGTTTTTACATAGTTTTTCAGAGTGGCAAGATTAATTTGCATATTAATATTTTCTTTCAAAGTGTGGCAGTCCCTCTTAATTGTCATTGTTTGTACATTGACTATGAATACTCATTATACCCTTGTCCTAAAACCTAGACTGACCTCAAGATAAGTGATAAATTCTTCCACATCCATGAGTTTTTTTTTCTATCTGTATACAAAAGTTGTGTCTTAGTTCTCAATAATTCATGTTGGATATTAATTTTTTTTTTGTTAACATTTAGCTGCATAAACATTATTTATCTAATTATTTGTTTCAGGGGTTTTTTTAGGCTTATTTTTGTTTTCATGTCAATCCTCTGCAGGTTCAAAGATAATCAGTGATTGTTCTGAGGTTGCTTCAGCCAGTTCTCTGCTTTACCTAGAGAATGAGCTGGTTTGAAAACATCTTTAGTTTCTCTAATAATCTATAGCTACTTGCTCATCTGTTGTAGGAGCTCCAGGCTCCTACACTGCTAATTTTATTAGTGTTAAATGTATTAAATGTTGGATCACAGCTGGATTCTTTAATAAAATAAAAAGGCATAAGATTTTCTTTCAGCTTTCTTCTATATTCACAGGTATTCTCCATGTTAGTTATATACATTTTACTGTCTCTTGTGAAGTACAGAAATTATATGAAAGTTGACAGTAACATATGGACATATTTTATAGTCTTTTGTCAGCACATTTTTTTTAATTAAGTGCCATTATCATTCAGTGTGCAAAAAAAATTTAAACATAGTCTCAGCAACCATATTTCTCTACCTTATTCTTTTACACATACTGGGAACATTTTTTAAAGATGGAGTCATGATGCTCAAGGCATTATGCTGAAGACAATAATCTACAAGATGAGGGACACCCTCATTACACAGCTTTGGAACAAAGCACTAGTATAATTTTCCTGTTGGCTACTTCACAGTTAAAGCAGACTCTTTATGTGCTGAACTGCTGTTCTAGAACCTGTGATCAGTAGACTCAACTGTTTGTCTGCTTTAATAAAAATCAAACCCTTACCACAAAAGTGTAGCATCCAAATGATTGGAAGGCTGACAGAGCCATTCATAAGTAAAGATTTTAGTACAGAGAGAGTGGGAAACAGGGTTTTTTTATCAGCAAAAAATGCTCAGAATCAAAAGTGACTGACTGGTGTATGTATGATGAAGATTTTGCATGTGTTTATATGACAAATAAGGTTTTTAGAATATTATATTTTAAGATAAATTCATCATACTGATGTGATTAATATTCTTTTAGGTTTTGAAAATTTGCCTGGCTTATCTGCTAAGGATTTGGTTACACTTGCTATTATACAACGTTATATTGACTTTAAAGTGAGTATAGTTCAAGCAAATAATACTATTGTACCTGCATTCCCAAAAATAGCAAGTATATCTCAGGACACAACAAACTAATAACCCTTCAAAAGCTGTCCCCTATGTCACAAGTCGCCTATAATTTCACATGGTGAAAGCCAGTATTCACCAGCAAAAGAAACAATCCCACCTCCAACATCGCATCAATCCCCATCTTCTTGCTTCATATTGCTGCAAATATCTGTGACCATGCAGCAAATAAGACTAGAAACTAATGCTAGTTAAAAATAACTTGGAGAAAAATAGTTTTAACTGTTTGCCAGATCAAGACAGGAATGTGCCAGGACTAAGATATTGGGGGAAGGACTGGACAGTAGGATTGTGTCCTGGCACAGTAAGGTCAGTTTAAGGGGACACTATTAAAAATGACATTAAAAACACATTTTTGTAAAGTTTCCTCTGTGCTCTGCTATCTTTGTCCCCACATGCAGTATCCATCCATCCATCCATCCATCCATCCATCCATCCATCCATCTATCCATCCATACATGCATCGTAAAGTTAAGAATGACGTGCCTATAGGGACTACAGCAGGGCAACAAGCTTTATGAGAGCTGTCTTGCTCAAAACATGCTTTAGTTTATGATAAATTTGTGCTTAGGAGCAAATTGAGAGCTTGCAGTGTTCAGGAAATAGCAAGACTCAGTCTTTGGTTGCTAATTCCAGCTTCTGTTGATGGCTTGTGTTGCAGTTTGCTCTAATAATGTCTGCAGTTTGAGATTTTAAGAAGTAGGAAGTAGGACTCAGCACTTTGCTCTTGTAAATTGGTATCTTGAAGCTGTTCCTTCAGAATTTCTGCAGTTACCAACATTCTTGTTCCCCTCTTTTAACCAAGTTTGGTCTTGGGAAGGCTTAGGGAGGCTTATCATGACTGAATCTGGCATAGTAGTAGTGCAGTCTAGCCTTGCATAAAAATTTTAAGAAGTCGGACAAAAATAAGGAGAGAGATGGTTGCTCTGTTTTGTTTTGATTAATTGGAACTGAAGAATGCGATAAATACTGAATCATATGGTGTATGTTTCACACACAGATTGGAGAGGTTTGGAGTGAAATATCTTCAGAAATAAAAGAAGAATTCAGGCCTGTTACATCAGATGAGAAAGCCTTAAAACTTATTTCAGAGGTGTCAGAAAATACTGGAAGAATGGTTCTTGCTCTGCAGACTGCAGTGCTGGAAAGACAACACCACGAGGAAATCCAGGAAGAGAAAAAAACTTACAAGGAAGTAAGACAAAGGAGTATTTAAATAAGGAAGGCCCACCTAAGCTTTTTTTCCCATTCATATGCAGATTTTCTTATTATATAATGTTGAGAATCCTGTACGTGAACACTGCTTGAAAAGTTTACATCTGTCTCAGGAGCCAAATTTTAACTTTAAATTAAATTAGGTTAACCTCAGTCCTCCCAGCTTCTATAATTTCACAGTGTTTAGAGAGCAACATGAAAAAATGAAGCAGTATGATCAGTGGTGCATCAGCAATGGGGTAACGAGAAATGATCATTATTTTACTATAGAGTTGCTCCTGTGTTCATCTGTAGCAGATAACAATACAAAGTACCTATTACCACTAGACCTGCTTCTTCAAATGAAATATAAGTCTCTATTATAAGCTCCCTTACTGAATATTCACAGGCCTTTATTACTTCAGAAAGTAGGGCTCTGTGCTTCCCAGCATGCTGAGAATGAGAAGATGTAGACATTTTCCAGCTTTGGTTATAAGGCAAGCATCTCATGGTTTTGCTCATCTGTTGTCTCACCGTCTCCTGCTTTCTGAGAAATAAGATCAGTTTGTCCATTGTCTGAAATCTCATGCTAGTGTTTTTGAGGGATTGTCTTGCATTATGATGACAGCACTTTTGTCTCCTGAACCAATTCTATCTCTTTTACTCAGCATTTGAGAACAAGAATATACAGAAAGTATTCTTGAAAGAGCTGGGCCTCATCCAACATACATGCTGGGAGAGGAAAACTAGTTTGCACAAAAACCTCTTTGTTTATAAGGGCAGTGCATAAGTGCAGTTTTCAAAGGGCAAGTACTTTACACATTATTTTCCAATCTTAGGTGAGAGGGATGAGCTAAGGTAGCCAAAGGGGCAGAGGTGAACGTTCTTTTCATATGGCACAAGCAATGAAATCAGAAGAGATCTGATACCAGCATTTCTATTACAGATTCAAGCTACCCGAATACAGAGAGACCTGACAAATAAATCTTGGGAAAATTTCTTGGCTCGGACATCAAACTATGAGGCATTGAAGGTAAGAAACCTGATGGAGCAAAAAACTTACAATCGTGATGTTGTCATAATAATTGTGAAGTTCCAAACACGTTTCTTAATGAATTACAGGGATATTCAAGTAGAAGTGATAGTAAATTTTATATTCACACAGACATAGAAGAAATAACCATAAGGTGTATTGGAAAAGTTACATAATCTTTGATTCTTTTGATACAATCACAAATTGGGGATCAGCATTGTCACTTGCAATTGAGGACTAGGTGTATATATGTGTATTTCTTCTAAAACAGTTGAAACTATGAGTCTGTTCATTCTTACTTCTATTTTTTCTAATTCTTTGTTCTCTTTTTTTAGTGCAGCAAACATCTTTCAAGATGGGAAATGTTTTGTGATGAAAGGAGTTTCTTCTAGCAATATTTGCACTTTCCCAAAACAACATAAAAATATTAGAGTACTGGTTTCCCAACCAGACTAAGTTGGAAAATGAATGAAATCAGACTTAAAAGAAAAAGTTTGGCAGCTAAATTTAATTTTTCTTTATTTCCCAAAGGACTTGCAAAGGAGAACAATTTTCTTGCTATGCAGGCATCTCCCTGGCTTGTGGAAAGATGTATGCTAGAATTAGAAGTGAAAAAGGGACAGAAGAACTACAGACTCATTAGTTTTAACTGAGTCACTGGAAAGCAGTTTTAGGCACATGAGGAAGAAGGAGATTGATATAGACTGTCACGAATTTACCAAGCACGAATCATGCCTTGCCACCATAGTTGCCTTCTGTGATAAAATTATTTGTTCTGGAAAAAGAGGAAGGGGGATGCCTATTTCCTTGGCTTTAGCAAGGTTTTCAGCATGGTCCTGTGTAGCATTCTTGTAGTCAAATGGGGATACATGGACTAGATTACATACAGCTCGACTACAAGCTGTGGGAAAAACTGGCTGGACTGATGGGCTCTAAAGGACAGTGGTCAATGATGGAAGTTTAACTAGTGGTCAGTTTTGAGTGATATTTCTCTGAGTTAATTATAGGGTTGATAATATAGTGTTGATTTAACCTTTCCATTAGTGACTTGGATATTGAATCAGTATCCATCGTCATCAAGTTGGAAATGTGAATGCCCCATCCCAGGAAATATTAAAGGCCAGGCTGGATGAGGCTCTGAGCAACCTGGTCTGGTGTCCCTGCCCATGGCGTGGGAGTTGGAACTAGATAAACTTTAAGGTCCTTTCCAACCCAAATCATTCTGTGGTTCTGGAGTTCTGTGACACTGAGCTGGAGGAAGCAATCCATATGCTGGGAAGGTGGGGTTGCTATTCAGAAGATGGACGGATGGGCTGATCAAAAGCTCATGAATTTCAGGAAATGAAAATGTGAAGTCATTCACCTGGGATGTATTGAGATTGTGTTGAGATGCCTCAGTACAGCTGGGCCTGCCTGGAGAGGCGGCTGTGTGTGGAGTGAAAGCTGACTGTGAGGCAGCAGTGTGCTCTTGTGGCCATGAAGGCTCACAGCACCAAGGGCTGCATTGCACAGAGCACAGCCCGCACGTCAAAGCAAGCAGGGATCCCTTCCCACCCTTGCAGTGTCATCCCATTTATTCTGATTTTGAGTGTTCAGTACAAGAAAGAGTCAAAAAACAGGGGGTGGGTACTTAAAATTAAAGGCAAATAGAATTATAACCTGATTTATTTTGTCATGTTGTTTGTATATTTTCAGATGAGTGCAAGTGACACAATTAATGTAGATAAAACAATTTTACCTTTTTTTCTGACTATCCTTAGAAAGCAAAAATGCTTCAGAACAAATTAATAGAGGCTTCCAAATATGACGCAGAGTTTCAAAATAGAACAGAACATTCTACTGATATTCCAAAACTCCAAGTAACAGTAAGTAATCCTTAATAACAGTTTTATTTTCAATAATACCTAAGTGGTATGGGGTTTGTTCTGGCTGTATACGTGCTGCTGCTTACGCTTTCTTTAATAATGTTTATGTTGACAAGCTCCAAGTAAGTAAGAAAGAGTCTGTATCTTTTGCAAATTACCATTACCTGTTCTGACATAGCCTTAGACAAGCACTTGGCCAGAATGAGATTCAGATCTGCAGGTTACTCTGAAAAAGTGTGGGTAAGATGGGCCCTATGCTATGTGACATGTACCTGTCGTGAGACAGCCATTCATGAAAACCTTGCTGAGGTCAAGACCTGCTCCTTTCATTGTTGAGTACATCTGGGCAATCTTCGATATGTCCATTGAGGTGTCCTTTGTCAGTAGCATGTCCCTGACTGCCTGCAGATACACCACTTGTTGCATCTTCAGAAACCATTTTGTTCTCATTTCTATCAGTTAATTGAAGTGTGAGAAAATAAAAAGCCTTTTTTAAGATCTAATTCACACCTAACAGCATATTTAGATGTTGAGTTTTGACAAAACATGGGAGAATCTTCAGTCTAGCCAATAAACTGTTTTTGAGCTAACTGGATTATTTCTGTGTAAGCATCACAGCTGAGGAGGATTTAAGGGGGATAGTTTATTTGTTGCTTGTAAGTTACTCTCACATGTGAGGAAAAATGAGAAAGAATAAACATGAGGTGCTGTTTTCAAACTTGTAGAAGACAAGAGATTCTATTTTGGGCACTCTGGAATGAATAATAATGACAACTAAGGTGGCTGCAAATTGAAAAAGAAAAGAGGAAGTTCATGTTTGATGTGATGGAGAAGCAAGGAAGCTAATAGGAAGCAAGGGGATTGTATCAAAGTGCTGGACTAGGATTTTTCCCACATTATCTTAAAGATCAGAAAGATATGGAGGAACATACCTGGGAATGCAAGATGAAGTAGGCTGGAACAATTATTTAGGTACTTGCATAAACAACAGACTGTTGAACAGCAATATTTTGCAGAAAGTGTCTGAAAAATTTTGATATAAGCATGAGTAATCTGGAAATTGTTAGTGGAGAGAAATATATTGTCAGATTTTATTTTAAAGGCTTGAACCTCAAGCTATGAATGTTCCTATCTTAGAGGGAGAGGATTTAACAAGAAAATACGTTCATGGTTCTACAATCAACATTTCAATAACTGTAGATAAAAACAAGGAAAAGTCCATTTTGCAGAATAGGTGTATTGAGAAAACAGATGCATCAGCAACATCATAAAACATTCCTCAAGTACTTTGCTTAGGAGAGTTACAAATGACAGACATGGCTGGAAAAATTTTTAATGCAACAAACTGCCGAACATCCTCAGCAGGCAGAGATGAAGATTAAGTTAAGATGGTTATTGCAAACCAGTCAAGGTCACACATCAAACATGTGAACTACATGCATGCAAGGAGTTGCATTTTTTTTTTTTAGTAGGTCATGATTAGAAGACAGCTGTCATTCAGGGATATTTATTCCAAGACCCCAACGTATTCAGTACAAAGAGTAGTAATGAATCTGGAAAGGGTGTATGTCCTTCAGTCTTGGAGATTTCCTGGAGCGGTAGTTCAGTAGTTCTGTGCAATTGCATTTTGAGAGAAAGAGAAGAGGGCCTGTTTTTTTTTTTTTTTCTTATTTGGAGTAATAAATAATAATGTATAGTGAAATTCTGAGGTCACAGACTGTGGCTGACATCCTGTACAAATCCAAATAACATTGTACAGCAAACTTATATTGGATAAAGGCTTTTCTTTTTTGCAATTAATAAATCATAACACAAAGACAGAAAAGCAGAGAATGTAAAAGTATCCACTGAAAAAACACTCTCTCCTTTCTTTTGTATTGATGGAAACAACCTGTGAATTTAGTATAAAGGATAGTTAGTTTTAGTTGCCTTCAGAAACCTCAGCAGGCATCTCCACCAACTGAATAATATTTTTTAAAGGCAGTTCATGATTTAACTGTCCTCTCATTTTAAATGCTAGCATGAGAGTCAAGAAATGTATTTATTTTGTATTTCAGGTAGGACCTGGTCACTTTGCAACTGCACAAAATACACCTCATCAGCAAGGGCCACTGGCTGATACAGACCATGCTCCTAGAAAGTCCTCTGTTTGTAAAGGAACCTTTAAAAATGGTCAAAAGAGATAAAACATTGGACTCAGTCAAGAAAAAATCAGTACCTGTATAATAGATACTGTACCAAAGAGTGGTATATTAATATGTAGTTACCTATAAGTAGATACAAGATAAAATCTGTTTTTAATGACTTGAAAAATTGCTTACACATTCCAGACATTGCAGTTTAAGCATCTCATTGAACAGGGTGATAAATCTTCACATAAACACATTTGATTCTTCATTTTCCTGAATACCATACCCACATAGTTTTTGTCCAAGCCCATTTTGTTTCTTGAATTGTCACTTTTAGCACCAGGACTTCTGACATCCCAGTTTTCATCTAAACACTCATTAATGAGCTTGTTTGTGCCAGCAGTTTCTCCCAGCCTGTTGGAGAGGCCTGTTGCAATGTTCTTCTCCATTTGGGTTGCTCCCAGCTCTTTAGCTGATCTTACTAATCTAATAATTGTTGGGCTCTTATTCCCATTGTCTCCAAAAATAACTCATCTTCTTTCATCTTGGCACCTCTAGAATGCCTGCATGAACTGGTGAGCAGCAGACCTTTGTGTAGATGACTCAATTTCTGAGCTATTTTCTAATTTGGTCAATGCCAGAATTCGCTATGTTACAATAGCACAAGACTCCCTGAGGCTCTTCATTTTAAAACCAGTTGCTGTCCAGTGCTATGGCATAAATTTCTGTGACATTGCAAGCTTTTATGCTGTGACTTACAAACTGGCACTTAGTTTGTCTTTTTTGCCTGTTAGCAACATCTTGGGAAAAGCACAAAGTTTTGCTTTTTTAACTGCCTGATTGAAAAAAGGAAATAAATTTGAGCTAAACATACTACAACTCACTTTTTTTTTTTACTTCATGAAAGAGGAATGGGATAGGTGTGTTTATAAGTGTATCTTCAAAATGTTTGTCACATGGTAGCATTAAAAATAAAGGCAAATAGTTTTGTTTCAAAATTGACTACCTAAATTCTATAAAAAGAAGAACCCTAAGAAAATAATGAAATAAAATAAAACACACATATGAAAAAATGTATTTGAGGTTTAGAGAAATCTCTATATATGCATTTTCCAAAAATCAGAAGGATTTTTCTTATGGGCAGGTCTGTTACACCATTATTGAGTAGGAAAGTCATCACATTGTAGAGTAGAAACGTCATCTAGTACTTAAAGATAGAGAAGTTAAATTGAGTTGTGCTAATTTAATTTAACTTTTATGGTGACCCTTTGGTGACTGATAATTTTTAACTGTAATTTAATGATGACATTTTCCCAAGACTATCTGTATAAAGTTTGTTTTATTAAACTAGTCTATTTGTATTTCTTGCCTGCCTACAAGAAAGATTAGCCAAGGTATATAAAGACTCTCTAACTGAAGTCTTATGTCGAGTAGTCTTGCTCAGTTTTTTATGTTTATATTTGTCTGACAGCTCTGCAGAACCCTTGCTGCTTTATTACTTGTTTAGAGAATGTATGGTCTGTTGTCTTTTTACAATTAAAACCAAGTTATACATATTTTACTAGGACACCAAAGACTGTGACTTTTGGCGGGGTTTTTAAATGCTTTTTTACATGCATATACGTGAATGTGTAGATGACTCATTATTACTGGGCATCAAGGCAAAGGCCTATTAAAAGAAATGTAGAGGACTTATATAAGTCCTCCCAATTTCTGAGCAAAAACTACAGCAGTATACTGTAGCCAAGGTATGGATAAAGAACCATTAACTGGAAATCAGTTTTGCTTTTGCAAAAACTTTAAATCAGTCACAAAGTGAGCCCCATGACATTTTCCCACAACTGTATTGTTTCTGCTACAGACACCCTGACTGCAAATGAGCAGCTGCAAATGCAAATGCTCTTGGTAATTAAGCATTAATGTTAATTAATAATGACTGGAGAATGAAGGGGACAGAATTTCCCCAAATAGTTACATTTATCCTTCATAAATCAGTACTAACACAGGCAGCACAGCAGCACAAACAGCATTTGATTTTGCCAAACAGCCATGGACCATAGTTTGGCTGTTGCAGGGGAGAACAGACAACACCCAAGAAGCTGGGCTTGCTGTCCCTGCTGTAACCCAGGGATGGAAAAAGAGGGGGTAGTGGTGGAAGGAAAAATAATCCCATTCACTATTAATCCCTCATGGTGACATGCCCAGTAGTCAGCTGTGGCTTTCCACAGCTCTCACAGATGTACACCGTAGCATGTCCACCTGGAATTTGTTTTGCTGCTGTGACCTGGGGTTCATAATCCCCTGCCGCTTTGGCAGACACCACAGGGTGACCATAGCAATTGATTGTTCAAACATTCTGGAAACAATTACGGTGGATGCTAAGCACTTTTGTGTCTTATAGAAAACTAATTAAAACAGACTTAGTGCCTGAAGAAGGATGAAGCTTTTAAAACTGCATAGGATACCTTGCTCTGGCGTTCAATTAAAAGACCACTAATAGAGGAAACAATCCCTTTAAAATGTTATTATACTTTAACACTTCTGTAGGTGATCAGTGCAGGTGAAGAAGGGGCATTTTTTTATATTGTTTATGCCAGTTAAAACTTCTGTTGTAAGTGCAATGCAGTACACAGCTTTATAAACTGGGTACTGCTGGGGCAGGTTAGATAATTGCTCTCAAACTGCTGCTCATCTTAATGTATCAATTCCTGAAGTTGCTGTGTTTGGGTGTGTAATAACTCCATTTGTTCAAAAATGTTATTTATATCAGGAACTTAAAGTGATGTTTATGGGTCAGAAAAATCTCTCACTACTTTTGTACCCTCTCCAGAATACTCTAGGAGATGTATTTTAGAAGATGCAGTTCAATAT